GGAGGATGAAAAATATAGGAAATGTATAGCCTTTGTTGTTGAATGTTGGCTATGTTTCATGGCATGCCCTGGCAGAACATGGAGCTGGAGAGTAAGCTGGCCGATTACGAACGTGAGGTCCTGTCCGGGGCGCCGACCCGCGCCAAACGCTCGCCGGCAGAGTGGATCCCGCGTCCGCCCGACAAGTACAGCCTGTCCGGACACCGCGCCCCTGTCACCAGGGTAAGCCCATTCTGGTCTGATATACACCCTGTTCGTACACCGCGCCCCCATCAACAAGGTAAGCCCACCCTGGCCCGATGTGCACCTTGTCCAGACACCGTGCCCCCGTCACCAGGGTAAGCCCACCCTGTTTTGATGCATTCCTTGTCCGGACACCGCGCCCCCGTCACCAGGGTAAGCCCACCCTGTTTGATGCATTCCTTGTCCGGACACCGCGCCCCCGTCACCAGGGTAAGCCCACCCTGTTTTGATGCATTCCTTGTCCGGACACCGCGCCCCCGTCACCAGGGTGAGCCCACGCTGTCAGGACACCGCGCCCCCGTCACCAGGGTAAGCCCACGCTGTCAGGACACCGCGCCCCCGTCACCAGGGTAAGCCCACGCTGTCAGGACACCGCGCCCCGTCACCAGGGTAAGCCCACGCTGTCAGGACACCGCGCCCCCGTCACCAGGGTAAGGCCACGCTGTCAGGACACCGCGCCCCCATCACCAGGGTAAGCCCACCCTGTCAGGACACCGTGCCCCGTCACCAGGGTAAGCCCACCCTGTCAGGCACCGTGCCCCCGTCGCCAGGGTAAGTCCACCTGTCAGGACACCGTGCCCCCGTCGCCAGGGTAAGCCCACCCTGTTTTGGTGCACACCCTGTCGGACACTGTGCCCCCGTCACCAGGGTGAGCCCACCCTGTCCGGACACCGCGCCCCCATCGCCAGGGTAACGCCCACCCTGTCCAATGTGCGCCGCTGTCCGGACACCGCGCCCCCAGCGCCAGGGTAAGCCCACCCTGTCGAGACACCTCGCCGACCCCCCCGTCGCCAGGGTGAGGCCAGTTCTGTCAGCTGCTGTGATCTAATTTAGACTCGCTGTCGGGATGCTGCTCTCCTGTCGTCCTGGTCCTAGCGACTGGTTTCATCCGAACACGCGCACATTGCGGTCACACTACGCACGATCATCAGGAGGGCCCCTTCCTGGGGGCTGCGCCGTTCTCAGACGACAGGGCACCCAGTAGATGAACTATGCCTGACAGAACAGTAAGGTCGATCACTGCGGGAACGCGAGGCTAGGTGACGATCAGTGACGCCACAAGGGCGGCGTGAAAGGACACTGAGTTTAATCATCATCAGATGTCAGCTCTGAGTAAGATGTTTCTTAGTCTCACCACCGCGACTGGTTATGGCTATGTGGGTGGCATTCCCTCCCCCCCCCTCCCCCCCCCCTCTTCCCATTTAATATTCCATTCTGGCGGGCGGTGACCAGCTTGCATTGCAGCACAGGGAAAACAGAAGTTTGACGTGACAGCTAAGCCAGTGATCCAACCTATGATATTGAATGATGCTAACATGGATCGCAACTTCAGCACGCGGTCGCCGCGTAACAGGCGAAGTTTCGCAATACTTCTAGCTTCAGGTGTCGAATATGCTTGCCGCAGGCATTCAGTCCGGTGATCTTCCATCTACAGCATGATGCGTCCAGGCGAGGGCGTCCTTTTGTCCGTGGCGTCCCTGGACCGCCTCTGCGCAGCTCGTTTGAGCCAGACAATGCACCACGAATTCTGTGAATGCGCGCGTCTGGGATCCTGCATTTGTGTGGAGGAGCCCAGTGGCACGTTGTCAGGCTGGTAGCCCTCAGTGTAGTGATGGAGCGACAGTACCGTCCGATGTAAACCCGCCGCCATCCTTCGCTTGAGATAGCTCTGCCCGCTTCAGGGGTGTAACGGCCGGATATTTGAATTGGACCCGGCGGTGCATGTTTGACCTTGGCGCTGGCGGAGAGGGAGGCGAACGGTACCGGCTGGCGGTTTGAGCCGTGCCCCGCTGGTGGGCCGCCCCATCACATGTCCCGCTCCCAATATGTGCACGCCGTCCGTTGCCGCTGTTTTCGCTCCGACTCGTTCAAATCTGTTGGAAAAGGGGAGAGCACCCCGTGATCGATTCGACAAACTTTCGTTGCGTATTCGATCTCTCCGTAGCGTTTTTTTCTTCTGTTTTTGTGGTGGCCAGTAGCATGTGGCCGGTCGTCAGAGAATGGCGATCGCTGACGAGGCCCTCAGACCGGGCGGAGGCGCGGCAGCGTCCCCGCCGTATGTCCGGCTGGGATGCTGGACGTACGGTGGTACGGCCGCGGCTTTGAGATATTCTGCTCAGGGCCCTTCGGCATCCCTATCAAACAAAAGTGAGCGGCATTGCCATGCTAGCGAGAGCAATGGCATGAACTCGATTGCTGTGTAACACAGGGCTTTTAAAATAATCAGACAATTATCGGGACCCAAGATATCCTAATCCCTCAGGACTTATCCGATGGTCACCACTGATAAGCCGCTGCTCATGCAAACACCTCGCAGTGCACGGTGTTCAAGCACTCGCGTTCCTTATCCGTGGGGCTACTGGCGGGTGGTCAGTACGAGGCGCTCTCGAAGAGAGCTCCAGTTTCACTGGGGAGGGAGCCTCCAGATGTGGCCCTCCCGCATGTCGGGGGGGGGGGGGGGGATTCATAATCCAACGCATGGCATGCTTATCGTCTGGCGTTGGATGTTGACCGGCCGCCGCGCGGCAGTGCCAGCGCCCAGCGCCAGGAGCGCCTGAACCTACCCACTGAATGTGGAGCTTTTACAGACTGATGGCCGCCTCTTCGCCATCTAGCGACACCGGATCCGTGTTTTTGGACGCGGGATGTGAACGCATGGCGTTCAACCGTGCGTGTATGTCAGGTGCGCCACGTTTCTGCGGACAAAATTTGCAGCGTCTCTACTGGCACTCAATGTGATTCGCATCTGCTGTATTCTGTGTACTCTCAGTCATATATGCTCGGCGCGTCATATCTCTGACATCTTCCCGTGTCCGCTCGGCCGCGACGCTGGTGTCCGCCCAGCCGCATCTTGCCCGCCACCCCGCCCGTGTCCGCTCAGCCGCATCTCTCCCGCCACTCCGCCCGTGTCCGCTCAGCTGCGACGCTGGTGTCCACTCAGCCGCATTTGTCCCGCCACTCCCCCCGTGTCCGCTCAGCTGCATCCTTGACGATACTTAGTGATGTACTTAGTGATGTATGTCCCATGTACGGCAACTCTGTCGCTACTCCGGCCATGTGTCTGGTCCGCCTCATCTCTGTCACCACTCCGGCCGTGTGTCTGGTCCGCTGCATCTCTGTTACCACTCCGGTCGTGTGTCTGGTCCGCCGCATCTCTGTCGCCGCTCCTGCGCTGTGTCTGGTCCGCCGCATCTCTGCCGGCGCGCCGGTAGTGTTAATAGAGGCCGGCGCGGCGGCCGATCGCAAATCGATCAGAGCCGGGGGACGGGCCGGGCCGGTCTGGTCTGGCCGGCGCCACCACGGCCGGCGCGGTCCGCCAGCCTGTGCCGCCTGGGCTCAGAAGACCCGGCCTCAGGCGAGCGGTCCCCGAGACTCCTCGCTTAGGTCAATGTGGCTCCGCCTCGGGTCAATTGGTCCAGGCCTTAGGTCATTGGGTTCAAGCCTCAGACCAGCAGATTCGGGTCACAGACATGCAAGGGCTGCTGTCAGCTAGGCAGGAATAAGGCGGGCAGGCCCGGCCACAGATCGACGGAAGCGGCTATAGATCAACAGGCCCTGCCTCAGCTCGGCGGGCCCCACCTCAGGTTAATGGGTCTCGCCCCAGGTCAGCGGGCTCCGCCCCAGGTCAGCGAGCCCTGCCTTAGACCAGCGGGCCCCGCGTTAGGTCATCGGGCCCCGCCTCAGGTCAGCTGGCCCCGCCTCAGATCAGCGAGTCCCGCCTCAGGTCACCAGGTCCCGCCTCAGGTCAGCTGGCCCCGCCTCAGATCAACGGGTCCTGCCTCAGGTCGCCAGGTCCCGCCTCAGGTCAGCGGACCCCGCCTCAGGTCAGCTGACCCCGTCTCAGGTCAGCGGACCCCGTCTCAGGCCAGCGGACCCCGCCTCAGGTCATTGGGCCTCGCCTCAGATCAGCTGGCCCCGCCTCAAGTCAACGGGTCCTGCCTCAGGTCACCAGGTCCCGCCTCAGGTCAGCGGGCCTTGCCTCAGGTCAGCGGGCCTCGTCTCAGGTCAGATGGCCCCGCCTCAAGTCAACGGGTCCTGCCTCAGGTCACCAGGTCCCGTCTCAGGTCAGCGGGCCCCGCCTCAGGTCAGCGGGCCTTGCCTCGGGTCAGCGGACCTCGTCCCAGGTCAGATGGCCCCGCCTCAGGTCAGCGGGCCCCGCCTCAGGTCAGCGGGCCTCGTCTCAGGTCAGATGGCCCCGCCTCAGGTCAGCGGGTCCTGCCTCAGGTCACCAGGTCCCGCCTCAGGTCAGCGGGCCCCGCCTCAGGTCAGCGGGCCTTGCCTCAGGTCAGCGGGCCTCGTCTCAGGTCAGATGGCCCCGCCTCAGGTCAGCGGGTCCTGCCTCAGGTCAGCGGGCCTCGTCTCAGGTCAGATGGCCCCGCCTCAGGTCAGCGGGTCCTGCCTCGGGTCAGCGGGCCTCGTCTCAGGTCAGATGGCCCCGCCTCAGGTCAGCGGGCCTTGCCTCAGGTCAGCGGGCCTCGTCTCAGGTCAGATGGCCCCGCCTCAGGTCAGCGGGTCCTGCCTCAGGTCAGCGGGTCCCGCTTTAAATGTCCCTGGCCGCGTCAGATTTCTCCCGCTGATCGACGTGGAGATGGCCCTGGCGGGTGCTGTGCTAAGCCGGTTGGGACCGATTTCGACCTCTTAACCTTCGGGCAAAGTGCATTTAAACGCGATGTAAGTTCCCGGAGGATCCAACTTCGGCTCCGAAGTGCTGCCATGTCCTTAGCCTTCCATTTTGGGTGAAAAATATTCACTGGAGAAACCAAGGTGTGTAGCATACTGTTGTCAGGAGTTAGCCATCATCGGGGCCCTCCGAAGTGTGATGGTCACCGCACTGATGATGGAAAACAGAGCTAGTGTTTTGTGTTCCGGGGATAGCGTTCGTGCTTGGGTATACGATGTCTTTGTGCTTTAACGTTGGAGGTCTTTGGCACTCATCCCAGACTATCCATAAGAGGAAAGGTATGTTTGCTTCAGGTGCTGTGAAAGACGGCAGGCTCCGCCGTTTCCCAGGTCCTTTCGTTCCTTATCTTGTACGGACCGCCAAGGCATGTGAAGGAGACGGATGGACCAATAATGCGCGTTCATAAATGAATGCATGGTATTGTACAGTTCTGTGCTAACTAAAATCCTAGCAAAGGCCATTTGATGCCAAAATGTTCACTGCTGATCATTTTTATGTGCATAAACGATGGATGGAAGCAAGCCAACAAATGTTTTGATTCAATTACGTGTATATTTCATCGCGCAAGCTTCATATAATAAACATGGCATGGACCTTGCCACTGCTTTTTTACTTGCGTGTTCCCTCCGCATTTGAATTGCAGCTCATGATCCTTGTATTTCAAGTGTTGGCCATTCGTGTTCCATTGCAGTCCATTGTTCTGTGATGAGGCCAATCGAACCATTACGTTCCCACCCCAACGATGTATCTACCCCTTATTGCCACCTCTCCCCTAGACCCGGGGCTTACCAAAGAGGAGCTGAGAGTGGTGCCGCCGGCCGGGCGTAGTTCGAGCTCGGCGGCCCGGTGACGTGTGCGGGGGACGCTTCGGCGGAGACGAGGCGAGGCCGCACCCGTGCGGAGTCCGACAGCGGTCCGGGCGGGGCCGATCCCGTCTTGGGTGATGTCGCGGGGTGTGCGGTGGTGCCTGAGTCGGCGGGTGGGACGCCCGGTCCGTGTTCGGGCCAGCGGCCCGCCAAGACCGGGCCCCGCCCCCGCCAGACGACAGCGGCGGTCATGTCAGGTCGATATGTTGACCGGCCGGCTGGATCGATGGAGGCGGCTCATGACCCTGACCGACAGCCGGCCGGTTGGGCTGGAACACGGGAGGACGGCTCGCAACCGACGCCGACACATGCACCGGCGCGGGGATCGACGCGCAGGTGGACGCATTGAACGGACAGATAGACATCTCATCAGACAATTACAGGCGGAGACAGACCGGCAGAGACCGAGAGGCAGCGGAAGAGGCTGGCCACAATGTCTCGGACGGGAGCTGCGCCGCCCACCGGCGTCGCCATCGATCGCAGCCCATTACCATGGCCGTCGCGCTCATGACGGGGCGGGCGGCGGTGATGAACTGTGCGAGTCGGGCTTGGTAATACACCGCCGCCGGCTTCGCAGAATTGGCTGCGGTCGCCGTGGCTCCTCCGTCCGGAAATTGAGCTCGGCGCGGGGTCGGGTTGGGACTGGTGTTCTGTGCCTCCCGCTCTGGGTCCGCTGTGGGTCGGGTAGTCCGTGAGAGCTCCGGTCGAGCTGGGACTGGTGTTCTGTGCCTTCCGCTCCGGCTCTGCTGCGGGCCGGGTAGTCCGGGAGAGCTCGGATCGGGTGTGGGACTGGTGCCCTGTGCCTTCCGCTCCGGCTCTGCTGCGGGCCGGGTAGTCCGGGAGAGCCCGGATCGGGTGTGGGACTGGTGCTCTGTGCCTCCCCGCTCTGGGTCCGCTGCGGGCCGGGTAGTCCGCGAGAGCTCGGATCGGGTGTGGAACGGTTGTCCCGTGCCTTCCGCTCCGGGTCTGCTGTGAGTCGGGTAGTCCGTGAGAGCTTTTACCCCGGGTCGGGTTGGGACGGGGTTGTCGCCTCCCCTGGTCTGTCGCGGGCGCTGGTTCCTCTGCGTTACCGCTGGCCGCTGAGCGGAGGCACTCCCCATCGCCGTCTGTGTGTGGGTGCGTGGCCTCGCTGTGACGGCCCGGCGGGAGCTAGACACGCAGAGCCCGCCGCTGTCCGTCTCGCCGCCGGTCCGGGCGGCCGCCGGCGGTTACCTGGGCCGCGGTGGCGTCTCCGGCTGCGCCGCGGCCGCCCCCCGGGAGCCAGCCGGCCGCTTCTGGCTGTGACAGTCGTCTGTGTGTCCATTAGCGGCGGCCGTCCCCGGGGAGTGGCCGCGGATCGCGCCTCGGGGCGGGGCAGCGCCGCCGCCTCCGTGTCGGGCGTGACCGGCGGCCGGAGCTGGGCCAGCCGGACGGTCGCCGCGCAGACCTGATGGTCGTAGGCGCGGACCGGCAGGGTGAGCTCGTGCGGGACACTGAGGACGTGATAACTGTTTGCTGCCGTCCCCGGGGTTATTTGCCGTCTGGTAAGATCGAGGAGATCGAGCACTTTTGCAAGATCGCCGCCGTGTTTGCCATAGTTTGCGTACTAATGGAGCTTTGTGTGCTCTACCTTGGGACGACGTTTGGAAGACGCACCCTGGGATGTTGTTATCCTACATCAATGCCAAAGAACAGTCGAAGCTGAAAGCAAGGCATGCTTTGTGCAGGGTGAATGGCATGTGGCTTTATTTGCTGGGCCTGGGATCGTTTCACCAAAAGGGGTTGGGCAAATCCAGTCTTGAAATCAGTTTTTTCCATGCATTGTTCTCGTATCAATGTTACTGGTAACGCATCGCTGCGTTGATAACTGGCCGTCATGTCCAGCGAGTCTCATCTTATGTCTTAGATAGAGGTCAAACACTGAGCCGCACGAATTCGTCCGGCACCAACGTGCATTTCAGGAATGGTGCCACGATAGCGTGCATTTTTCATATCGCGTGAGCAAACAATCCGGCCGATAGAATATACGCCACCGCGAGCAAAAGCATGATAAAATAAATTTGAAATGGGGCGCCTATGTAGTAAACTCGTCCAAAGTGAGTGCTCCCACCCGTGTAATCCTCAGACATTCACGTTTGTCACCCATTCGTCACTGTCCGGGGACGTTCAGCGCCAGTACGAGTTTGTTGATAGCGTCTGTGTCGTGTCCAGGTTGCTGTGACGTCACTGCGGGACCTGCATTTCCCGTAATGTTTTAGTACCGGAGTAAGCCCCCATACAAAGTTGTTCTGACCTCGATTCATTCCATTTAGAAGGTGTCTGAAGATCGTTGAGAATGGCGGACGGTTGCTGTGTCTTTTCCTTTCCAGCGCGATGCGCAATAACTCGTTTTTCTTCGGAATCTGAGGTCTTCAGTTCTAGTTACAGGTTACGGAAGGCAAAAATCACAACTGCATCAACTGCCACGTCTCACGACGCCGTGATTTATTATATTTCCGGCAAGTTGGTCCTTCTGCTCATTTAGCACTCTCGTCTAAACAGCAAGATCTTTTCATTTGAGGATCTTTAACTAGCAGGATCTTTTCAGGTCAGATTCTGTAGGACCAAACAGTCCGAGTCCGAAAATCCATGCCATTGCCCCTTTTGCCCGCTCATGTTCTTGATTTCCTGGCGGTCTGGAAGGTGACAAGCGTCGGCGATCGTCAGAGAAGCGGTTTCGTGACGCACGTGCTGTGTCTTCTAAAATATACTCGAGGCTTTGCGCGGGCTGGCTGAGAAAACAAAGTCCGCATGGCCTGCCACGAACACGGTCAGGCTAGGCATGTTTACATTGTCCCAGCGGCCGTTCACGTGTGGCCGGCGCTAGACCGTGACACATGCCGCGTGACTGAGGCGAGGGCCGTCCTGTGCGCCGGCTGATGCCGATGTCGCTGCCGCCGTTGTCGCCAGGTGCTGCTGCACCCCGTCTACAGCCTGCTGGTGTCGGCCAGCGAGGACGCCACCATCAAGGTGTGGGACTACGAGAGCGGCGACTACGAACGCACGCTCAAGGGTCACACGGACAGCGTACAGGACATCGCCCTGGACCACACGGGCAGCTTTCTGGGTACGTGCCACCGGCCGCTCCTGACCCATGATCTGTGATCCGAGGTCGTGATCAGTGACCTGTGACCCGAGGTCGTGACCTGTGATCCCTGACTGGTGACTCGTGGCCGGCGCTTGCGACTTGTCCGCCGTCGGCTCCCCTCGTGCCCTCGGAGCCCGGTCTGTGCCGTGGAGAGGCGGACGTCTGGTACCCTCCTCGTGCCCCCGGATCCCGGCCTGTACCGTGGGGAGTCGGGCGTCTGGTACCCTCCTCGTGCCCCCGGATCCCTGCCTGTACCGTGGGGGAGGCGGACGTCTGGTACCCTCCTCGTGCCCCCGGATCCCGGCCTGTACCGTGGGGGAGGCGGACGTGCGGTACCCTCCTCGTGCCCCCGGATCCCGGCCTGTACCGTGGGGGAGGCGGACGTGCGGTACCCTCCTCGTGCCCCCGGATCCCGGCCTGTACCGTGGGGGAGGCGGACGTGCGGTACCCTCCTCGTGCCCCCGGATCCCGGCCTGTACCGTGGGGGAGGCGGACGTGCGGTACCCTCCTCGCGCCCCCGGATCCCGGCCTGTACCGTGGGGGAGGCGGACGTGCGGTACCCTCGTGCCCCCGGATCCCGGCCTGTACCGTGGGGGAGGCGGACGTGCGGTACCCTCCTCGCGCCCCCGGATCCCGGCCTGTACCATGGGGGAGGCGGACGTGCGGTACCCTCCTCGCGCCCCCGGATCCCGGCCTGTACCGTGGGGGAGGCGGACGTGCGGTCCCGAGACAGCTGGGCGTGACCAGTTTCACATCAGCATGAAGTGGAAGACCGTTTTGGCTGGGGGAGTGTGCACGGTTGTGCTGAATATCCCCGACACGTGGTTTGCGCGAGCGGCGGGGCTGACAGAGTGGCGTCCGCGCCAGGCCGGAGCGTGGCTGGTGTCCGCCTGCGGCTCCGGCGCTGACCTGCGGCCTGGCCGCTGACCCAGCGCTGCGTCACTCATCGGACCGGCCGGCGCTGGTGAAGTGATGATGTCGCTTCACAGGCTCCTGCCGTGCTTCACGCGGCCAGTCTCTGTCGCTGGCGCGGGTGGAGAGCGCGGGCCAGCTCGGAGCGTCATGACGCTGTTCTGAGCACCACATCAGCACCCACGTCAGAGTAGCGGAACACAAATGGCGGCCCGCGATTCAGCTGCGCCCCGGGCCTCTGACCAGCCTGCCCTGCCGTTCTTGGGTAGCCCTGCCCCTCTGCGGGCCTCGTCGCTAGCGCTGGGTAGACAGCCCGTCCTGACGAGTTCTGGCGCGCCGCTTCATGGGCAGGCACCCAGTTGTTGAATCTGAATGGGCCCCGCGTCGCTCTGGCCGTAACTCCTGAGTTTTCTGCGATAACTCGCGAGTTTCCGGGCGGCGCCTGAAGTTGGCCGAGCTCGGTATAGATTGCGTGGCACAGTTTCACCATTAATCACCCTTTCCGCGGAGCCGCCAGCCCACCGAACCGATAGGGCTGAAATTGCCGTCCGACGTTCAATAACGCTCAATTGTCGGACCGCGGTACAGGCCCGTAGTCGACCGGAGGCGACCAGGTGTTTGGCCGAGGCGGGCTCGGCACGTCCGCGGCACAGGTCCCGTCCGGCGGGGTTGGGTCTCGCGGGCGATCACTGCCCCCCCCCCAGCGTTGGTTGTAATGTCACGTGCTGCCGGTTCACGGCAGGCAGGCCGTAAGCGCTCACGTGAAGCTGTGCCCCGATCTTTCCTTGATGACGTGAAACTTGAATGCTCCTGTTTACAAACTGCACCTGTGCGTGAGCGCCTGTGGCCTGACGCCGCTGAACGGGTTGGCCCGTGCGCGCAGTGTCGTGCAGTGCCGACATGTCGGGTGCGTGGGCGCCTGTGGCCTCTCGCCGCTGAACGGGTCGGCCCGTGCGCGCAGTGTCGTGCAGTGCCGACATGTCGGGTGCGTGGGCGCCTGTGGCCTGACGCCGTTGGGCGGGTCGGCCCGTGCGCGCAGTGTCGTGCAGTGCCGACATGTCGGCTGCGTGGGCGCCTGTGGCCTGACGCCGCTGAACGGGTCGGCCCGTGCGCGCAGTGTCGTGCAGTGCCGACATGTCGGTCAAGCTGTGGAGCTTCAGCGGCCACTACGAGTGCATCAAGACCATGCACGGACACGACCACAACGTGTCGAGCGTGACCTTCCTGCCGGCCGGCGACTTCATCGTCAGCTCGTCCCGCGACAAGGTCATCAAAATGTGGGAAGTGGCCACCGGGTGAGAGCCGGAACAACGACCGTTCCTTGTCACGGGAGGTGTTACTAGGTGACGGCCTGGGCGGGGCGTCCCCCTCCATGTCCCATTGGAGGTGTTACTGGGTGACGGCCTGGGCGGGGCGTCCCCCTCCACGTCCCATTGGAGGTGTTCCTATGTGACGGCCTGGGCGGGGTGTCACCTTTCCATGTAACGGGGGGGGGGGGGGACTGCTACCGGGCGAGGGCCGGGGGCAGGGCGCCGGCGCCGGCCGATAAGTCGTCGGCCGGCCTCAGATCCCGTTAGCCGGTGGTCGTTGCTGGGATGGCGGCGGCCGCGCGCCTGAAGACCGGCAGTTCCGGCCGGGACTTATCGCAGTCATCGCGGTTCGGCCGCCGAATCTGCGGAAAGCCAGCCGAAGCCCTGAGCGGCTTTGTGAAATGGACCCAGCTCCTGTGTCGCGCTCTCCCGGCCGTGAAAGGCCACTGTTCGGGTTACGGCTTGGGGACGCGATCAAGGTGTTGACATTCGGGCCTGTATAAAGATTGTGTGCTCGTATGGGGAGTTGTGTTAGTAAGAAGCTGAACGTGAAGTAGGTCCGTTATTTTCCCTTCGTTGGGAACGTCGCGCCTCTGAACATGTCCAAGGGACGGTCTGAGCCGCAGCCAGCCACCCGTTGGCGGCGTCCTGTCCGTCGCCGCCGGCGCTAACCCCCGCCCGGCCGCAGGTACTGCGTGCGCACGTTCGCGGGCCACCGTGAGTGGGTGCGCATGGTGCGCGTGCACCCGGACGGCCAGCTGATGGCGTCTTGCTCCAACGACCAGACGGTCCGCGTGTGGCTCATCAACACCAAGGAGTGCAAGGTGAGGGCGCCGGCGGAGGCCGGGGCGGCCCCGCTCCGCTGCTGCGGCGCGGGCCGGGCCGCCGGTACCGCAGCAGGGCTGCAGCGGATCAATGTGGCGCGCCGTGACGGCGTCTGGCTCGGGCTCGGCCGTGAAGAATGACGGCCGGACGGCGGCCCGGCGGCACTGTTCTATTTTCACGAGCCCGGACCGTACTCAGGCCGTGCCTGGAAGTTTGAATATTCCGAGCTTTTCGCTTCCGCTCGTCGCGCCCGTCATGCCGCTGAATTTGTGGCTGGCCTGTCAACGGGTGGTAATCGAGATTTCCCGCGGGAGGACGGGCTAATTTGTCCCAGCTGTCGGCGCGAGGCGGCGCCGGAAGCCTCCAGAGGCGACCGTTTTCGATTCAACGCGCTTACGGTCCCGTGCGGTCCCGTGTTATGTCGGGCTGTCCCACCGCTGTCAGCTCCGGCGTGCTCTCTCCCCTGGGGTGAATGATTACATGTGTTCGTGTTGCCGTCTGCACGACCAGAACAAACATGCTGCCAACGGGCAGGGATGTTTCTGTATTTGTGAAATGAGCGTTGGTTCTTCCCTTTATCGAAAATCTGCCTAATGCGCTACTGACCCCAGGCACGTGCCGCATCGCGTCGAAATTCCACGTGTTTTGAAACGAATTAAAATTCAGCTGTGTTTGGTGATGTATGGAATGGACATTCGTGCCTTTCCTACGACATTGTGTATTTTCGTTTCCACTATTGCTCCGTGTATGTTCCACCCACGCTTCAGTTATCTGTCGCTTGCCAAGCGCGTTTTGACTGCCCGTCACCGTGCTCGTGCCCTGCCCCTCCGAGGCGAGCTGGCGTGCCGACCGCGCTCACGTGAGCGACTCCCCCAGGTGGAGCTGCGTGATCACGAGCACGTGGTGGAATGTGTGGCCTGGGCGCCGCAGTCGGCCTGGCCGCAAATCAGCGAGGGCGCGGCCGGCGACGAGAAGAAGTCGCCGCACCACGGGCCGCTGCTGGCCTCCGGCAGCCGCGACAAGACCATCAAGGTGTGGCCTCGCCACGCGGCCGGGCAGCGTGCGCTGCGGGCCTGCGGTGACCTGTCGCAGTGACATGACACCGTGACTCCTGCACTGGCCCGGGCCCGCGTTATCCGCCGGGCACGAGCCTGGCTCCTCTACTCGCGCCCGAGGTGTAGTGCAGGGACGTTTACTCCTGATTGTGTTATTGTCTTGCTTCCGTTATTCGTTTGTTTCTTAAATTCTGTGTGCAGGGCCCTCCTGTCCTGGTACACTGCTCTGCAGTTGAAAGCGTGCCCTGTGGTCCGCTGTGCGTCACGTTTGTCGTTGCCGCGGGCCTCCGCCCGGCGAGTGCAGCAGCGGGAGGCGACTGACGCCTGTCCGTCGCCGCCGCCCTCAGATCTGGGACGTCGGCTCCGGCCAGTGTCTGTTCACGCTGATCGGCCACGACAACTGGGTGCGCGGGCTGGTGTTCCACCCGGGCGGACAGTTCCTGCTGTCCGCCTCCGACGACAAGACGGTGCGCGTCTGGAGCCTCAAGGCCAGGCGCTGCCACCGCACGCTCGAGGCGCACCAGCACTTCTGCACGTCGCTAGGTGAGGGCGCACGCGCGGCGAGGCGCCGCTGCCAGCGGCCGCGGCCCTCCCTGGCTGACTGCGCCCGCTGGCTCGCTGTGTGGCGCGTCTCGAGTGATGCCGGTCTTTCGGGCGAGGTCACGTTTTGAGTTTCGGGACACGAGGCTGATGGCAATACAAGATAGAGTGGAGAACGCCAGTTACCGTAAAACATGTAAATATACTAACAGTTGCAGACACGTGGGCGGGCATTTGATATTGAAGTTCCATCTGTGAATTGCATAGTCTGTTGAGAACAATTTCAAACTCCTGACATGTATCACCTGGACATGAACGACCCATAGGCATATTACACCAGCAGAATACTTCGTTGCCATGAGGCAGCAATGCACCGTGCAGCGTTTTCCACATGCGCAGTGCATTCCTAGACCAACGCTCTCCTCGGATACTCATAACACGAAACTATCTGAATTTTCCTCTGGCTAGACTCAGGCCTAAGAAAGCATCACACTAGATATAAAGAATGTCGGATAGAGGGATTGCTAATGCTGCTGTTCGTTGCGAGCTGATTGTAACCTACAACAAATCTGAAGGATCGGTTGACAGTGAAATGAGGTGTGCCTCACGCTGACTGATATTAACCTCCAACAACTAATGAAGGATCATCAACTAAAGTGTAACGAGGTGTGCTATACGTGGCAAACTTGAGGCAAATGTTGCTGACTTCTTTCATGGTTATGAAATCAGACCGGATCCATGTCACCTAGTCGAACTTTTAAGAACAAGTTTTCCAGGGTCTCAAAACTGTTCAGAGCACGTAAAGACACCGACCCTGTGACTGACGATAAGGGAGTCGCGTCACCGTCCCCCCCCCGCCCCCCCCCCCCCCCCACCGATGCCCATGTGCCTTTCGACCGGCTGTGGCGGCCGGTCGTGCGCCACGTTACGCCGCGTTACACCGGCGCCTCCGCCCTGTTCCAGACATGCACGCCTCGGCGCCGTTCGTGGTCACGGGCAGCGTCGACCAGACGGTCAAGGTGTGGGAGTGCCGCTAGGCGGCCGTGGCTGCGGTTCCGGCTGGGCGGCAGTCTGACCCGACAGCACCTGTCGGTCGGCGCGCCGCCGCCGCCGCCGCCACTTGGTGTCGCACACCGTCCGCACGGCGTGCCGCGGTGCTTCGTTGTCGTCACGAGAGCAAAGCTTTATTCTGTTAGGCATTTTTTTTTGCGAGGCCTGCGCTGCTGCCTTTTCGGTCAGTGCGTCGTTGGTGTCGTCCACTGTGATCTGAGCTGCTCGCACGCTCCGCGCTCTAGCTCGCCGCCCTCTGAGTGGGCTCGACCGGCGCTGCTGTTGCGGCTGCCACCGAGGTCGCCCCCACCGCTCCGCTGGCGAAGCCGTCCCGCCCGCCCGCCCTTCAGGCCAGACCGGGCGGCTGCGGTCGGCCGGGGGGCACGACAGCGGACTGTGAAGGCATTTCTGCGCCGGGCGCTGATTGGCTGTGGAGTAAATCGTGTGAGCTTTTGAAGGGCAGGAATCGTGTCATCGGCCGCGCTGACGGAAGTCGCGCCGTGTGAGCGAGAGGAAGGGCCGTGTCGACGGCTTGGAGCGGTGCGTTGCGCGCCGTCTAGGACAGGAATAGGGAAAGTGATGTGCTATGTCGTGGGCGGGGCTGACTGGGCCGCCCTAGTCACCCCGGCTCCCATGACCCGCTTGTCCAGCCGCACGCCCAAACGCCCGGTGTTGTCCGCGCAAAACCCGCTGTCTTGTTTGGGAACACTCGCGGAAATGTGCTGCGCGCCCAGTGACACCGCTGGAGCCCGGACGTGCGGCGCGGCCCTGCCGATGGCCGGCGGCCGTCGGTGGCGTCGCTGCACGCTCTCACGAGTCGTGGTGTCGGCTATTGTTTGCATAGTGATATTGGCCTGTCTCAATACGAGGGCTGCTCCCGACTGACCCGTGTTTTCGGCGTCGCCGCCCGGGCCTCGGCGGCTCCCCGGCCGGTGTGGTCACCGCAGGACCGTGAGATGAGACGACACGCTACAGTCAGCGGAGCCGCCCGTCAGCCGGCCGCACAGGATCGATACGCCGGCTCGGCCGGTCGGACGCCGCAGGCCGGCCCGCGCGACGCTCTCGCCAGATCGTTTGCTCGCGAAATCAGGCCGCCGTCGTGAATTATAGAATGGAGTGGAAGCAGCAGACGACCAGCATTAATAACGAATACTGCTGGAAAACTAGGCGACTATGGGTCATCACGAACGCGGCGATCTTGGGAGATGTAATGGGGAGGTAAGGCGAGGTCGTCTCTAGGTGCGGCGTGGTTCGATATAAACTGCAGCAAGACTGCCGTGGAGCCGTCCTCCACGCTCTCACAATGTTTGGCATAGCCTTGGGGCACCAGACGTGAGATTAGATCGCAAAAAGCTGACCTGCGTTTTTAGTCGTTGCTTCTTTGCCTTTGTCTGCTAGACATTCGCTTCCGACCAGAACTTTACATTCTTCAACTGTGATACATTTAAGGGGCAATATGCAGAGAATCCGCCTTCAGTGTGCATATTTACAGTGTTGTTTGTACTGAAGCATTACTTGATAGGAATTGACAAAACTGCATTTAGCTCCTGTCTTCGGCATTATGAGCTGGGGGTTCTAATGCTGACCACAATAAACTTGCAAGACGTCAGAAAGAGTTGCTTGAACGACATTGTCAATCAAGCATTTAATACAATGACAATTTTTTTTATTAAAAACCCACGTTTAATTGGTGTCTGCAGGGGTACTGAAATTTGGTGCGGTCAGAATAAGAGCGCCTATCTCGATGCACTGGAATGTCCTAGTTCGCGACACTGCTTCGAAGACAGACATACATTTTCCTTCTGGGAAGGGGGAGTACAACCGATTTCTGCGACATTTAAGTTACATATATTGCATGGTATGACACAGACAATACAGTTGGCGAACAGTTCTTGTCAATCGGGGAGGACTTCTCTGGGTGATGTTCGTCGCGCTTCTGTTGCAAAATTGGACGCGTCTCATGAAATATTCAATAAAAGTTCACAAGTGTCGGGGACTCATTTTTTCATGTCGCCACCTTGAGCTGTTTCGCTAGTTCTTGCGACTCATGAATCCACGACATGCGACAAATTCTGTGGCGTTCCATAGGTGGAGAGTGTCAGTGATGAGTGACTAGCTCGGCTGCCAGCCTCCTGCCGGTCTCTGCGCGGGGCCTTCTCAGACTCGGCCGCTGAACCGCGGCCGCCAACAGGCGCTCCGCAGGGACGGCTAACGGGATAATCGACGGCGCCGGAGATCAGCTCCGACGGAGAGTCCCGGTCCGGGGCTTCGCCGGCGTCTGACGCTTAACCACCGGCGACGGACTGCAGCCGGCGTGGGCGGGCGGACAGGGTTCCGATCAGAGCCGGTCAGCGGCGGGGCCGGACCGCGTACCTGGCGGCGTCCGCGGCGGGGCGGGGGCGGAGGGAGCTGCACGGCTGGCCGACGGAGCGGCGCGAGGGGCCTGCGCTGATTCTTCCGGTCAGTCCACCGGGGCGTGGGTCACAAAGCCCCGCACTGAGGCAAAGGAGGGCAAATCATCCAATAGCAGAGGAAAACCACATTCGTGGTTGAAAGCGGGATGCTTGGGAATGGTATCCGAGGTCCTCACACCGGAAGGTGGAGATGTGGCGCCCGAGCCCGAGGTCTCGGTCAGCCGAACGTCGTTCTGACGCTACTGGGTGGGCAGTGTGCCAGGTCACCGCCAGACGGCGCCGCCGTCGCACCTGTTGCCTGGGGCGGCGTCTGGTCGCGGCGCCAGCGCCATCTGCATCGACCTCCGAGCCGCGCCGGCCGGCCGGCGACCGCAGTGTGCCGGCGAGGCCGCGGCTGGAGACGACGGAGGCCGCACACCGCTGCCGGCGGCGTCCCCACCACCGGTACGTACGCTGCGGCTCCGTCGGAGGCCGCCGGTACGAAACAGCGGCCGCGTCCGGTCGGACGGCCCTGGCGTTGTGTCTACAGCGTCGGTCGGAACGGCCTGTGCTGAGGTGATCCGGTGACTGCTGGTTGTGGTCATGTCTCAGTGTTGTGTTTGTGGTAAAGGGTTAGCTGCAGAGGGTGCGGGAGAAATTCATGCGTGCCGAATTTTCCAAGTTTTGGCGTCGATTAGGAGGTTTCTCAAGTCTGGAGCGATGCGCCCGACATACGTTTGTCTCGCAGCGCGGCACATACGCATGCCTTCAGGATTAAAACAACCGCCCGGTCCGCTTCCAAATTAAGATAGAACGTTACCTAAGCGTTACTGATCCCCCCATGCTAAGTAATGGGAGTCCTGGTGTTGGAATCTGAGCTCGAGTCAACTATGCTCATCTGGAGTCGAGTGCATATCTGGGTCGAGCACACGTCTGGTTTGGTCGCCTATCGCTTTGCTAGTTAGTCCTTTCTGTGTCGGTGGAATTCGTGGGCCATATTATCAAAGCTGTAATGCGCTTAACAACCGTCACTTATGTTACGTTACGCGTCGCGCGTGCATGAGCTGCACTGCTCGACGGTGCCCGCAATTATGCGGCCAATTCTGAGAGCAGAAAATACGTTCGAATTTATACCAGGCGGGTATGCTATTCCCGGATTTAGCAGCATTAATTAGTTACATCGTCAATTACTGATGGACCGAAGCCTTCTGCCCAGTCAGTGCTGCCCAGAAATAGCTTGGATACATTTATGACATGCTGCTGCAAGGGGTCGTCCAGTGGGAGTGACATCATTGAAAACAGCTACGACGACGGGAATCGTCACGGTGCCAATGGAGCCATCCAGCCGTATTTCATGCCGCTGATCTCCCTTTTGGTCTTCGGTGACGTAACATGGAAAGTACTGGGACGAAGTGGACAACACACATTATAGTACACGACTCATATAATATGTCGCGCAGGCAGTACTATATACTATTGCGCGCATTGCTTACCCACTAGGTGCAATAAGTTAACACGAGAAAATGCAATATTATCGCCTTTTGCAACGCCCTAGAGCGTCGCGACTGATATGAGGTCGATGATTTTTCACGAACTGACATGCTGTGCTTGATAAATTGTTGGTCGCTGCATGCAACGAACACCGTAACACCGTCGGATTACGCGTCAGAACAATGACCGATGCTAATATGGTCGAATGATATGTGAACTGTGGTCGGAGTTTCCAGTTCAGAGCAGCAACCGCTCGTTTAAGTGTTGCCGGGCACGAATATTGCCCGCTGCGCGTTAAGCCGGAGAACGCTGTGGGATTTCCACCGACAAAGCGCGGCCGCCAATGACGCTGTTTGTCCCGCTGGTGAGATCTCAGGCCCCTTATTATTGCCGTTGCGGCGACGCGTCACAAGGGGGCAGGGTCCGAGCATGGCCGGGACTCAAGGCTGCCGGTTCTGCCGATCTAAGCCCCTGGGCGGCTCTAGCTCGCCATTTCTCGGCTCGGTGACGGAAACCAATCAAGCGCACTAGTGAATGGACCGAGAAAATATTAATCACGTAATGGAATATCACGGATGCCAGGGATCGGCGGCACTCCCTGCACTTCCGACTCTCCCTGGAAAGTGGGAACTGAGGAAATGCGTCAGTGAGGCAGGCAAGGGCTTGTCCCCAACAAAGCCTTTGGGTTCCCGGCAAGCAATGTCCAACTTAGCATCCTTGTAATTTAGTTATAGGAGTGTTTGTTGGTACGTTATCGCAAGAGGACTAAGCGTTGCATTGAATGCAGAAAGAGGGAGAGAGAGAGAGTGAGAGGGAGAGGGAAAGTATGCTACATATTACTAGAGTTATATATATATATATATATATATATTTGTATATATATATATATATATATATATATATATTTGTATATATATATATATATATATTTGTATGTATATATATATATATATATATATATACATATATGCTAGGTGTAGCAAAGGTATAACGTGGCTACTGAATGCAACATTGAAAAGACAAGGTCTCTCGAACGGTATGGAATTGATCGCGTTGCAAAGGCCTACTGGGCAACGCATGCACGTCCCTGCCGATGGGCTAACCCAATTGATGATGCAGATTAGGGCGCGCTGTTTGCATTGCGATCCACTAATTAGCTAACGCCGGTAGGCGCGCGCTGGTGCATCCTGCGGTGCTCAATAGGCCGGGGTATCGCCGTGAATCCTTGCTCAGGCGTGGCCAGCACTCTACAGGGTCACATGTGCACAAACCCACTCTACGGTGGGTTTGTGCACTTGGGAGAGGTTCTCCCACACAGTACAGGCCCAACGACCTGGCAACACCGCCTCGCGCGGCGTGACATTATCGCTGTAACAATTCCGCGGCTATGCTGCAAATCTAGGCATTAGCCAGCTGGTGGAGAAGCGTTCGCTGCAGCCAAGGGCGGCTCTTTTTTGTTGTGCCCGCAGACCTATTCGGCGACACGTTTAATCCCACATTTGCATTGTGACTAATGAGACAATTAGGCTGACTCAGGTCATTAGGCCGATGTTATATGAGAGCCGCGGCCGGCGAGGGCGCTTGGTCTTGACGGGCGTCTCCCTGCGGCATGTGTGGGTCGGGGGGGGGGGGGGGGAGATGGGCTGCGACGGCACCATTAGTGCACTTGGTCGACCTGCGTCCCTATATGGTGCTTCCCAACGCGCAAAGAAATAAGAGCATCGCTGGCGGGGTAGATTTGAAGCAAGTATGCTCCCGATGTCTATAATGAGCGAGCATAACTACTTGGGTGCCGGGCTTCGCATAAGCGTGAGCTGGTGAGTGAGTTTGTGGATTTTCTGGTGGCGCAGATGTCGCGTCGTTCGACGGTTCCGCGTCAGGCTCTCGAGTAAACACACATGTTTGAGCCATCACAGGTTCGCTGCATCATGGAGGCCGCCGTTGAGGTCGGGCCGTCAGCGGGTACGCTGGTCCACCCGCCATAACGTTCGTTAAGATACGGTAACCAAACGTAAATCTTCGTTTTCTCTGGGGAGTATGAAATATGTGCGCTGCCAGCTTACTAGCATTTTTATCGTGCGATAGGTCGCGTAGTACTGGCGTTCCAGTACTGTCTGCCGCTGTGCTTGTGGTGATTTTCGAATCGTGTTCGAATTTTGCATCCGCTTCAGACTGGTTTGACATGATTATGATTGATAGACGGTTTGATGCATGACCGGTCTGTACCCGTTAGCTGTATGCGTATTGGCTATAAGCCAGCACGACTAGCACGGTCTCAGAAGGAACATTTGGAGCAAGCGCATCGTTTGACGAGAGAGCACGAACAAAGTGTGAAATTGTAACGGTAAGAGAATTGTAACGGTAACGGTAAAGGCACGGTAAGAGTGCCCGAGGCTGTCAGGAGTCGATGAGAGGCCAACGAAAGGAAACGTTGTTTGTCCTCTACCTGTGTGAGACGCCACTTCCTTCTACTTCTCTTCCTAGATGCATTTAAAGAGGCCCCAGAAAGTGTGTTTTGTCATTTGTGGAGGCCCTGGGGAGTGTTACGTCATTTGTGGAGGCACTGGGGAAGTCTTTCGTTACATCTGAACATCGGAAACCCTCTGATGTCTAACGTATACAATGAATCCCGCAGTAAATTCCCTAATATACTACAAAGACGTTGTTAAAGCCTTTGCCTTTGGGACATTTCATGCATGGTCAAACTATGATCTTTTGCATGTGGTACTCAAGAGCGTCAAACAGAAGCTAGTTAACAACGGGTACATTTAGCACCGTACTGTAGTTCATTTTTCTTCGCCCAAGTCTAGAAATCAACAATAAAATATAAGTTAAATTACAACCGGATATTGTGCGAAGCTGAAACAATGGCCTGTAACATAGTTTAGGAGATCACTTTTCCGAAATGACCCATGTGTATGTTCATTTTTCAGTTCCAATCTGCGATTTTTTGGGTCTCAAAAATATATGCGTTGATACTATCTCCTGTATGATCATAGGTGCCACGGAGCTAACAACTCATTCACGTCAACTCAAGTTGTGACAACGCCTCGCAAGATATCTCGTCACCCATCAGTCAGATGACCTGATATTGTGATAGGCGGATTTTACACATCAAATCAACTTTGGCACCCGTTTTAAGTGAAAAATAAGACATAACCTTGTCAATCGTGCTGCGCTAGATGAGAGACTACACCAAGTACATCATTGTGCAATTGATATTAAATGCGACTGCCTTGGCCCTCGCGGTGGTTGTACCCCTGTGTTCGGCTTTAGCCGATTTGAAGGAGGCTTGATTGCGCCCGCCGAATTTTGCGCTCCGCTCCGTATTTTGACTAGAACACTTTCAGCATCATTATGAGTATCGACTGTTGGAGGCAGACTCCACCGCCCCGTATGCAAATTGGGACAACACTGTCGTTATTCGAGCGTGCGGTCGGGTGAGGGGCTTTGTAATCTGGCGCGCGTGTGACAAATGTAATCGGCCGGAAAATCTCGCCTGTTCTGCCAATGCCCAAACCTGGATCAGAGACGCAGCACCATTGCTTCAGTAGGGCGATGCTTCCTAGAACATCGCTTTCTCAAGTGGGGGTACCGGTAGTGCAGTGGCTAAGCTGCGCGTCTGGGAAGCCAGCCGTACGGGGTTCGGTTCTGTTCTTCACGATCTCTTTTGGTGCCACACTACGATGTCATCCAACCAATGATATCAAGTCAAACCGAACCAACAATAACTGGAAAATATGTTGTCATAATATTCAAAAACTTAAGTGTGTATGTGTGAGAGAGAGAGAGAGAGAGAGAGAGAGAGAGAGAGAGAGAGAGAGAGAGAGAGAGAGAGAGAGAGAGAGAGAGAGAGAGAGAGAGAGAGAGAGAGAGAGAGAGAGAGAGAGAGAGAGAGAGAGGAGAGATGGGAGAGATGGGAGAGATGGGAGAGATGGGAGAGATGGAGAGATGGGAGAGATGGGAGAGATGGG